TGTTTTTTTTTTTTGTTTTTTTTTTTCCTTTTGGCTTTATCTATCCATCTAGCTAATTGCCCTACCCGCTGAATCAATTGGGCTTTTCTCCCGTGTTAACTTTATACAACGTGAAAATCTGGGATCAAGTTCTATCTTGCTCTTATCTGACCGTTACGTCAGAGTTGCATATATTTTTTCGCTTTTTCCCTTTTTAAAAGACGACCGGGGCATAGGGTCATTATCCCTTACATGACAGAGCTATCCCTGTCAACTGATATCTAACAATGCACCTTGCAGATGAGGAGCAACCCGCATACCCAATTTATGACCGCTGGTTTTCTCTTTTTGCGATGTACTGTTACCTATTCACTGCATAACGTATAACTAGATGAACGGACTACAGCAAAATACATGTACAATAACTGTAATGAGTTGCAGAAGAATAAATATAGGAAACCCAAGATCACTAAATTCTTTCGAATATTTATTATTCAGCTTGCCAGTGTTGAAACGGATCGTTGAAGGCCTCCTCCTACGATAGATACCAAACGTTTATCGCTATAAGGGGCCAGTGGCCAGCGTGGTTCCAGCCCAGTGTACTTCTTTCGTACTGCTCATTATGAGAACTTAACTGATCAGTGTGGGTAGATGCATGAGGTAGTGGTCGCCGTGACTCCTCTGATTGACACCTGAGAGTAGATGATTTACATGCCAGCCTCAACGTATAATGGACTGTACGGTTGTCGTGGCAATCGAATGTAGCGTTACCAAGTCTTCATTAGACATCGTCATTGGGATCTATCAATACACACATTTAAACATCTTGTACCGTTCCCTGCGCTTTCTATAATTGTGAGCTAATTGGAAAATAGTGAGCATGTCAGGAGCTCAGGGATAAATTGATCGCCGGGGTGCGCCTAGGACACGTCCTATGGAAGTTCTCGCCTTGGGCGCTGGTAGAACGGGCATGTCTCTACCTCTGCTAGGTTCAAGATTGCATTGTTAACTGGGTCGAATATAGGAACTGACAGCCTCCGTGTCGCACTCAAAATCTTGTACGCGACGACTGTTATCATGGCTTCACGCCTGTCGACGAAAGCCTGCCCGACAACTACCTATGGCTGGAAGCAGCAGACGCCAAGTTCCGCGGGAAAGGCAAGCCATACACACACACGAACAATGGCATAATCTACTGGGAGATTGTGCTGCGGTCTCTGACTTGCCATGTGTGGCCTTTGCGGCCGAGTTGATCGAAGCGTACCCAGATGCCAATAGCTAGTGGGCTTGACCTTGACGGCAATAATGTAGTTGGTATAGATGGCAGTAGCAAACGAAAAGGAGAGTATGCTTCGGCGCAAAGGAAATGGAGATCAGCGCGAGCTGACGAGGAGAAAGAATGCTGGTGGAGTTATTCGGACGTTGATATATGGGCTCAAAATAGTTAAACCCTGCGTTGGCATCACACCCATTTATACATGCAATCAGTTCCGTGCATTCTGCGCTTCCCTTGCATATACTTCGATATCTTAGGACTTTCTGACCGATTAAGTTCACCATATTCAGGCCCCGTATCTTGTTCATCACCGGCTGTTCCTCTGGATTCGGTCTTCAATTGGCCATCACTGACCACGCAGAATAACAACATTGTCGTCGCTACCTCCCGAAACCCGTCAAAGCCAGCTAATATGGCCTCGCTGGGTGTTATTGCAAAGAAGCTCGATGTGCAGGCAAACAATGTTGAAGAAAAACGGCGGATACCTATAGTTTGACTCGCATTGTGACGAATCCAATGGTTTACTTAGTTTATCAACCGAAGCAGGAACATCCAGCTTACGTTATATGATTGTATACATTAGAAGACATAGAAGCATATTACAGTTCATACTTGCTAGTTTCGGCAGCCTAGGGGCCAAGTTTATAGGCTGCAAACCCATTAGTACCATTCAATCCTCTTCAGTACATTAACTTTTCCTTAATGGAAGAAAGGACCAAAACAAAGCGAACAAAAGAAGTAAAAACAAAAACATACAACAGTAAGGATTCGCTAGTGGTCACCCACCTAACTACTAACTTACCGGCGTGTGGCTTAAGTACGGCTGAGCGGACGGGAAGCCCTGTTCTCCACACCCTGTGGTCGTATGTAGTTATTCCAGCTTTGAAGGGTGATATATAGCAATTCAAAAAGGCTGTATAAATCAGTGAGCATTTGCTCTTAGCCACCCAACTGACCACCCCCGTGAAAGCAGGTTTCGAGGAGGTCCGCAACTTAGTGGGCTTGGAGAGCTCCACGCATTAAGACAGACTGGCTACAATTTTGCAGGGGTATGCGTAGTCATCGGTGGCGACACTGGCACTTGCACTTGCTTGTGAGGTCGTCTGTTTAACGTCCGCCTTGGAAGACTTAGTCGATGCTTTCTTCTCGAGAGACGGGTTCCACAAAATCAATTCCTTGTCTGGGCGTCAGCTTCCGACGCAAAATAAACCTAAAAGTTGGGGGACAAGCCTATTTCAGCTGAAATACCAACTGTATTGGCAAGCGTCCAGCAATTTGCGAGTGCGTTGGTCGTGACATTGGGGTGTTAAAAGAAGAATGGCCCTTAGTTATTTATTTGTCTTTTTTATCTTGGAGGAAGGCAGCGATTCGGGATGGTGAGGTAGGCATTATCACCCTAGGTGAGAATTGTCACCTCCTTCTCACCTTTCTATCCAAGTATCAATACTTCTCACCTAAATCACCCGCGCTCACCCTCAATTGCCGCTTGAGTACTAAGGGCGTATTGAGAGCTGACAACGTAGAATATATGGCTTCTATGGTCTTAGACGGATGTGATACTCTGCACTACAGTTCATGTTTGATTGGGAAAAACACCATTCATTAAACTGAATTGGTACAGATACTAAAACCTCAGGTCCTCCCGGCTAACTAGATTTGTAGAAGTCGACGTGGTCACGCTTGATGGCATCGGCACCCTTCTCACCAACCATGTACACGGAGTTTTGGATCCGACAGTCCGGAATGACAGGGATGACGGATGCGTCAATCACACGGAGGTTCTTAACACCGTGGACCTTGAGGTTGTGGTCAACTACACCCTGCTGGATGCTCTTAGACAGACGGGCAGTACCGCAAGGGTGGAAGGAGGTCTGGGAGCGGTCTAGCACAGCTCTCTTCATGAGCTTGTCGTCGTGCAGCGGCATCTCCCAGGGGTACTCGCTCTCGATGATATCCTTAAAGCCCTCGCCGTTCTTCAAGACATCGTAGGCATATCTAATACCCTCGCGCATAGCGATAATGTCGAGGTCGTTGTTGAAGTAGTTAAGGTTGATATTGGGTTGCTGTAGCGGGTCGGCGCTGTTGAGGGTGACCTCACCGGGTTCGGAGACGGGGCGGACAAGATCAACCATAACAGTGATGTAATCTCCCTTGCTTGGTGTGGGGTAATGCCACTGGAACGCGCTGCCGAACAGACAGACGAAGTCAAGCTCGAAGTGAGGCTGGCCGTACGGGCAGAATGGGTCCTTGTTGCCGTTCGAGGACTTGGCCTGACGGTACTGGGGGTCCTTTTCCAAGTACTTATCGATCCTGGGGAATCCGACCATCTCGAGGAACCCGGAGCCTAATGGTCCGCCGTGGTTGTTCTGGTAGGCTTGGATAGCCTGGTTGTTCTGGGGGGTTCCCTTGCGTAGGACGTGGTTATCCATTCCGAAGCCGTCCTTAACGCGAAGGACGAAAGGAACACCAGGGTGATCTAGAAGATGCTGACCCACGTGGAGGTTGTCGATAATCACCGGGATGCCGTGCTTCTTAAGTTCGGCGGCAGGTCCGATGCCACTAAGCATTAGTAGCTTAGGAGACTCGAAGACGCCTTGGGAGAGAATGACTTCACGGGTAGCATAGAAGTTGAGCTCCTGACCAGAGCCCGTGATGACCGTCACACCCTTACAGATCTTATCAGCATCGTCGATGATAAGCTTCTTCGAGTGCACCTGGGGAAGGATAGTGATATTTGGCTTGTCGGTGACACATAGGAAACTGCCCGAGCGGCGACCCTTGTAAATCGAGTTTACACTGTGGGTTAGGCCAACCATTTGACCGTCGAAAATGTCTTCGTTGATTGGCTGACCAGTGGACTTCCACGCAGTAGTGAGGAGATCACGGAAAGGCTTCATCTCGGGAATGAGCTCGGAGTGGGAAATCGGAATAGGGCCGCTTTGTCCGATCTTTTTCAGGTCTGGCGAGTAGGCCTTCTCATCGTCATGGTAGGTCGCGCTCTTCCGCAGGTAGGGAACGAGTGAGTCCCAAGTCCATTCCTTTCCACCATATTCCTCCCACATATCAAAGGTACCCTTGGATCCAGGAACCCAGGTGAAGTAGTTCAGGGACGAACTACCACCAAGGGCCTTACCCCGGGTGTTGGGTTTCTCAACACGTTCATAGTCGTCTCGCTTGACAATGGTTGACTTGTAGGCCCAGTCATACTGGCTGCCACGGAGCTCCATAGCTTCCGAGGGGGTTCTGATCTCCTCGATGTCTTTCGAGTTGGCAACACCGGCTTCAACAATCAAGATCTTAGCGTTGGGGTTCTCGGCCAGGCGGCCAGCAACAACATTGCCGGCAGTACCACCACCAACAATGATAAAGTCGAACCTAGCATTGTTCTGGACAGACATGATGGAGGCAGGACAATTGAAAGACAGTACAAGATGATTGAATGTTTTTGAAAGAGACAGAGGATGCCTTGCTCAATTCATAAAAAAAGGACTTCTACAAGCCTTTTATAATTGAGCTGATGGTCTTTCTAGGAGAGACCCTACTCTATACAGTATAGAAGAGTCCTATCCCGCGTTCTAACTTCTCGGTGGACGTCATCGACTTGAATGCAAGCAGAAACAGCAAAGCAGTAGCTCCACGAATCTAGGAATCTAGACCCGTCCAGTGATTCCCTATTGGACTTATAGTCTTTCTATATTGGGGTGAATGCATATGAGCTGCATGATTGTGATTTCAGCAACTGACTCTCCCGTATTCTCCCCAGTGCCACGCGAAGACGTCGAAGGCTTCTGCAATTGGATTACTTGAACTGGTAATCGCTAGCTGGCCTAGACCTAAAGAACATACCAGATTTATAATACGGCTATCAATATCGAGGGAATTCCAGTTAAGACGCGGATTCGGGCCAACAAATGAATAATGAGGAGCTATCGCACATGCGTCTCCCAGGTTGCCGTCAGTATCCGAGACGGCCGTAACTCGGATAGATCTACAAAGATCTGACCATATTTCAAAAGCTCCGCACCATGTGATTGACTATGCGAAAGAACACAGTAGCTATCATATCATATCTCCTCAGTCTCCTCTCACCTGAGGGGAACAGAAAGCAAAGCCCTATCAATGGACCTGCTGGGCTATCTCGACATGACATGTGCTGCATCTACGTCTGCAGTCTAGTTGGCTTGAAGGTATTTGGATTTGGCCGAGACTTTTCTTATAGTAGGCCGGTTCCATGGAAGCACGCCGAGGATAGATCCGCAAGCACCAGGATCCGGAAGATGGCCAGCCCCAAACATGACCGGTTAAGGTAATTAAAGCTCAACTACCAACTTTGGTAGTACCTTATGCGGATCCAACGGGATCAGATCTGGGGCTAAGATCGGTTGCCACCGGCCAGGCTCCGAATGTGGGGCCTTACCAGAGTAGTTGGAAGCTGAAGAGCGCAAGCTTTGCAGGGAATCCATCTCAATTGCAGGATCCACTTGCATGCGGACCATGATGACCGGACCAGAAATACTACCTCGCAAGTTCGTCGAATTATTTATGCACGCAATATATTCGCCTCAGCATCGGGCCCCGGGGTATTGTGAAGCGTGGATTGTCCTACCCAACACACACAATTACGCCAAGCTCCAACAAGGTTTCAAAGTTTCGGCAATAGTGGGTCATATTGATATGCACTGACTGACTGGGTAGTAGTAATCGGCCAATCAGCTGTCCGCCATCGGAGTGGAAAGCTTTTACCACTTACTACCTATTTAGGTAGTCTACTAGGTTGGCTTTCTAAATAACCTTAGATCTTAGCCATGGCACACCGCAACTTACTTACGTCACCTGGTGTGGAGGGGATAACTGTATAGAGTAAGGTGGATGAGGGGTTGTTGACAGTGGACCCATCCTGGCTGTCGAGAACAGAGCTCCAATGAGTGTAAGCGTAATACTAAGATCCAATGTAAAGCCATCTCAAATCAAGACTGAGCTTTCCCGAGGGATGAGACTATATAAACTGCACCTCTCGGGCGACTCCAACCCCGTAATCGCACATTCACTTTTTCTATCTTGTCTGACTGATTACCATTACCCCAATTGTCATTCAGCATGGGCGACGACAAATACTACACTTTGGCCGAAGGTACAAGACCTTTCAATCTTGGACTTGGGCTTTAGTCTGACTATACACAGGTTGCCCTTTTGCAAGCAACAGAACCGCTGTTCTGATGCGAGATAAACAGGGTGGCGGGCTCGGGCTGCTCCAGGATACTCAGCTCATTGAGACCTTAGCTCATTTTTCTCGCGAGAGGATCCCGGAACGGTGAGTATCTTGTCCGACTGAGGGTTACCTTAAAATCCCTACAGTATACTGACATTGAAACTTGGATAGAGTCGTTCATGCCAAAGCTGTTGGGTATGTTGTTAAGTTTCGCCCGGAAAGTTTCTCCGGTTGACACTGTGTGTAGATCCTATGGCGAGTTTGAAGCCACCCGCGATTGCTCCGACTTTACCTGCGCCAGCTTCCTCAACAAGGTTGGAAAGAAAACCCCGGTGCTTCAGCGCGTGTCAACGGTCGGTCCTGAGTCAGGATCTGCTGATACTTCTCGCGATGTGCACGGATGGTCAATGAAGCTGTACACGGACGAGGGAAATCTCGACTGGGTTTTCAACAACACGGTATGCGCGGTCGCTATATCCCTGATGTTATTGATTATAACTTTTATTACCACGTCAGCCTGTCTTTTTCATTCGCGATCCGATCAAGTTCCCGTCAATGAATCGGTCCCACAAGAGGCACCCCCAAACCCATCTCCCTGACGCAAACATGGTAAGCCCTCCTGCTGTTAACCGGTGATGAGCAAATCTAACGACAGTTGTAGTTCTGGGAGTATGTCTATTTCTCGAGGTACAATTGGCGAATTAGACTAACTCCGTTTAGTTTCCACGTCGGCAACCCCGAAGGCATACATCAACTCATGGTTCTATTCAGCGACCGCGGCACTCCAAAATCAGTTCGCTACATGAATTCATACAGTGGACATACATATAAGTTCACCAAGGCGGTAAGCGATGATGATTACCAGATGCTAAAGAACTCCAACGCTAAGATCATGGCTAGGATGGCTCGTTTAAATATGCGAAAATTCACGTCAAAACTCAGCAAGGGATACAGAATTTCAGCCGCGAAGAAGCTACCAAAATCGCTGGAGAGAACCCTGATTATATGATCCAGGACATGTTTGAGGCCATCGAGAGAGGCGACTATCCTGTTTGGAATGTCTATGTCCAACTGATGAGCCCCGAAGCGGCCGAGAAACATGAAACGAATATCTTCGATATGACCAAGGTTTGGCCGCACAAGGATTTCCCCCTGCAGCAGATTGGTCGCCTTACTATGAACCGCAATGTAAGTCTTCGTAACCGTTCTCCAATACTCAGTTGCAGTGACTGAGCTCGAACAGCCGCGAAACTATTTCGCAGACATTGAGCAAGCTGCATTTTCACCATCGACGATGGTACCGGGATTTGCTGCGTCCGCTGATCCAGGTAAGTAGGGAGGTTCCATCAATTCTTTGCTAAGATTTTCCGAGGCTAACTTGTACCTAAGTGCTACAAGCACGACTCTTCGCGTACCCCGACGCGGCCCGCTACCGACTGGGCGTGAACTACCAGCAACTCCCAACCAACGCAGCCAAGGCCCAAGTTTACTGTCCTTTCCAAAGGGATGGAAGTATGCGATTCGACGACAACTATGGCGGGGACCCTAATTACGTTGGCTCCTGGATCAAGCCCACTAAGTTCTATCAAGACGTAAAAGGAACAAACCCTGGGGCATTGAGCCTACACACCGAGCATGAAAAGTGGGCAGGAGAGGTTTCAGCCTATTCCAGCGAGATCACTGACGCAGACTTCGTCCAGCCCGCAGCATTGTGGGAGGTTATTGGCCGGGAGCCTGGTCACCAAGATAGGCTTGTTGACAATCTCGTCTCCAGCGTGAAAAGCGTTAAGTACCCCGAATTGCGCAAGGCTGTCTATAGTAAGTGGTGCCCTACTGGTATCTCCGTAGATATTTGTCCACTGCAGTCAAGTCTAACCCTGAATATAGGCCTTTTTAGTCGTGTCAGTAAGGACCTCGGGTCGAGGTTGCAAAAGCGTACCGAAGCAGCAATTAAGGCCGCGTGAGATCGATGTGCTTCTCTAGTATTTCTGCTGCGCAACTAGAATTGGTTGTGTCTTTGGAAGGAAATGCCAATGCCATTGGATGATTTTAATTTGATTTGTGTTTTATGGATGGTAACTGAAGAATGATAACACCGTCCGATAGTCGATAAAATTGCTCTCGTAAAAATTGCCTTTATTGCGTTGAACTATCCACCGACCCATTGTTAGACAATCGACTACGCCGCTGATGGACTATGGACCGAGGCGTGTGGCGACAGGTCGGGTACATGGATCTGGCGGTGGAATGCCCACATAATCTGCGGCGAATGACAGACCATGCTTTGTGCAAAGGTAGCCTTCTATTGGATAGGACATAGTAGTATCACCCCATTCGGAGCCAAGTCCTGTTAGCGCAAGCTCCAGGTGAGCCCAGTCGATTTCCAAATCGCAATTGGTCTGTGCGACTGTCCTGGGTAGAGCGGACTCATCATGTGATCTGGACCTCCCATCCCACATTTCGATCCATCAACTTCGCTGCCCCAACAGCACCTCCTCATGGCCAGAAAGGAACAATGTCTCCGCGGGACTCCAGCTCCTCCAGTGGAACACAGCGGTTCACATTTGTGACGGGGAACATCCATTCGGAAGCTCGGAGCCATGCTATGAAGGAACACTGGAAGCGGCGACATCAGCGCAATCAAGAGGCGAAAGCATACTACCAAAGAAGAACATCGCGAAATTTGTCTCTCCGTTCGAAGAACCATTTTAATGAATATGTTTCGCCATCAGAAGATGCGAGTAGCTCTTCAGGGTTGCCAGAGGTTGGCCACATGGACATGATCAGGAATCAAGAGAAATATCCCAGCATTCCCGCCCAACTGTTGTCTGGAGTGAGTAGTGCGCTGTCGAGCTCGAGGCCTGACCCGTTTCAGACGTGTCCTATTCACTTGACAAGCCAGCACCAGAAACTTTTGCACCACTGTGCGTATGGGGATTGGAGACCTTACTGCTTGTGGAAATTTTGCTGACGGGGTCGTAGGGATTGGAACCCATGCGGCTATGATGTTTGAAGACCTGGATGTCACCGCGTTTAATCCGATGAAGGATGTTTGGTTCCCGCTGGACCTTTCGAATGCTTCGTCTTTCAACTGCATCATGGCGCATTCAGCTGCGCACTTGTATCATCTATACGCTGGCACTCCCGCGCGACGAGGATCGATATCTTCTGATGCCTTGAAATATAAGATCGAGGCTGTCAGGATACTACGCCTTTGGCTTGGTGATCCAGAGAAGGAGCTAAGTGATGATTCTTTTGCGGCTGTTGTTCGTCTGCTCACGTTTGAGGTATGTCAACTAATTGCGAGTACCTCTGTGGGAAACTGGCTGATCGCATTTAACTCAGCGATACTGGGGTACAGTCGAAGACTGGAAAATCCACCGTGATGGCTTACAAAGAATGATCGATGCCAAAGGTGGAGTTGAAGCGCTCCACGAGAACTGGCGCTTGCAACTTGTAGTTTACCTGTCGGTGCAGCTTGTAACAAGTATAAATAATTTGCGATTACTGACAACTTCCAGTGTCTCGTTAATGTCGCGACCATCATGGCTCGAGTCCACGAACAACCTCGACCGAATCTCTCGTCCTTTTTTCTCGCCCTGCGCTATCCAAAAAACCCCATCTTGCGATGTCCAAAAGGTCCGCTGCCTTTGGTTGATATCATTCATTCAAGACATGAGAACGTTCATGGGATCATTTTACACTAGAGGGCTCTCTGCGTATCCCTTCACTCATGCCGCAGTCGGACTGTTGCGTCATAATTTTCAGCTCTCTATTGAGTCTTCTAGCCATGATGCCCACACTACAGAATGGGAAGACGAAATGCTTTGGTGTTTATTTTCCATCAGTGTCCTAACACAGGAGTCGATTTCCGTCCTGTCAGATGGAGATTCAACAACGCCCACTGGATCGAACACACTTCATGGATTGGAGATATCCTTAAGAAATTCTCGACATATGTGGGAGCGTTCAGTCCACGACTTGCGCTCTATCTTATATGATAGCCTGACAAGGCTCTTTGAGGAAGGGCAATCCAAGGTGAATTATGTCGTGGACTTAGTGCAGATTCTTGGTACATTGAGTTTGGAAGCGCGCCAGGGAGTCGAGAAATGTCTCCTTAATTTGCTTTACTACCTCGGGAATAACGATAACAACGCTCTATTAGTTGATGAAGGATGGTCGCCGGATTCGCTTTTGTCGTCAATGCACGGACATTAGCGTACGCAATCATGAAGCTTCGAATTTATTCTTATAAGTTATTACGTTAAAAACGTCAAGAAGTTAATGAGCGGACCCTAGTGACAACAGATTCTCCTAGTAATATTGTCCATGATTGTTTGTGAAAACATAACTGAAAATGAAAACAGCGCCCAACAAAGGAAGAGCACTACATCAAGCCTCCATAGGTCTGACCCTCTTCTTCGAGCTGCTCATCCTCTTTGAGGTATTCTTTGAGGCCTTCCTCGTCTTTCTTCAGATCGGAGCGGAGTCCTCTCTCGCCGCCCCGAGGCTTGTCCTCGGTCGGCTGGCCTTCGTTTCCATGCTTATTGTGATGGTTGTGGTGGTCGAGGATCTTCTCAAAAAAGGACTCCTTGTGTTCGGTGGGCTGCTGAGTATCTACCATCGAATCTCTGCTTAACATTTCGGATGGAAGACTGAATGAGTGACGCAGTCACGAACCTTGAGGCATCTTGATCAACTTTGATGAAATATCGGTAAATGGTCTTAGTTCTGGAAATAAGATGTTAATTGGGGTTTTAGTATGCTCAGATTATGAGTATTGTTTATCTACTTATATACCACCCCTAGTATACTTCCTCCCTGCGATGAGATGGAATTGTGGGGACGAAATGACGCAACGATTCCCGATCCTTCTAAATCCGGCAATACTAGTTGGCCAATCAGAAGATGGGCATGTCGATCTCTGGTGCCCACTGGAAGCTCGGAGTTGAGACGATGTCATGACTAGGCGGCTGTGGGTTATTGAGAAGATGCTCGAGCGGATGTTTGTGGGGCATCTGCCCGGGCTGTATGATCGGTTGTTGGACTTCTCGATGCCGTTGACTGCGATTGTTTTCTATGCGCCGTCGGCTACGGTGTTGGATGGGCTTGATGGTTGATATATATAGTTGTTTTTGGTCGATCTCGGATATTAAAGAGCTAGGGCTAATGGGTAGGCGAAAGAAGGAGCTCAATTACATTGTATCGATATAACGAGTACTGTCAATATGGCATATTTAATTGATCTACTTACTCCGTGGTCAGGAGTCGATCGATGGTAAATGAAAATTTGAAGACAAATCTACCATATACTTGGATGATCTTACAGGAAAAGTTCGATTATCAGCATGGTTGTAGAGGCAATGGAATATAAATGACTCTCCTGAAATAGCTTGTACTACGAAATTATGCTATAGCATATTCCCCAGGAGTAATAAACAAGGCGCCCAAAACGCCTACAGTTCCCGAGAGTTCCTTCTATCACCCCGTTCTCACCTCTATCACTCACCCTATGACAGATTTCCTGGCCATTTTAGTGTCATAAGGCGCCTGAGAATTGGGTGCGTATGGGTTTAAAAAA